TCTTCTTCTTCTTCTTCTTCTTCTTCTTCTTCTTCTTCTTCTTCTTCTTCTTCTTCTTCTTCTTCTTCTTCTTCTTCTCCTTCTTCTTCTTCTTCTTCTGTATTCGGCCCGATACCGCTGTGACCTTTCCTTGCTTGAGCAGAGATTCCGCTGGTAGACCTACCGCTCCTTTGTTTTCAAGCACCACCATGACCTTTGCAGAAGCGCAGTGACCGACAGACTTGTGACGCGCGGCCCTATCTCTCTCTCTCTCTGTTGCCAGACCTGCCTGCGACACCCGGCCTGCCCGACGGCCCGGGAGAGCAGGGACACAGTATTCTGCCAGATGCGACGTGCCATGGACCTCATCCACTACGTGGTCAAGGACGGCGTGCTGGACTCGGCAGCTCAGCTCGCGCACATCACCAGCCAGCACGGCGGCGCACAGGTAAGTCAACGTGTGTGTCCCACGAGTGTGTCCCACAAGGGAAGGATGTCCCACGAGTGTGTGCCCACGGCTCACGGTAAAAACAATGTCTCATATTTTGAGGTAAAAGGGAAAACTTTGAGGGACTCCCATGTTTAAGTAAGAGTCCTCCGATCTCGCCTCAGATTTTGAGGAATCTTCTGAAAAAACGGGGGAAAATCCCAAATTTTTTGAGGAGACTTCCTCAAAATCTGAGGAGTTTTCGACAAACCAGGGGAGTTCCTCAAAGTTTTCCCGTTTCCCTAAAAAGAATGAGACATTGTTTTTACCGTGGTGTGTGCCCACGAGTGTGTTTTACGAGTGTCCCTTTGTGCGTCCACGGAGTGTGTCCACGAGCATAGCGATCAGCGGCACTGCCGCGTGCGATCGGGGTCGCGCCCTTCCTTACCTCCCTCCCTCCCGCCCTTGCGCCCGCGCTGCCCCCTCTCCCCGCCCACTGCTCTGTCTCTCACACGGGTATGCGCCCGCCCGCTGCCGACAGGGCCCGGGGCTGGTGTACAGGGACCCGGAGCTGGGCTGGCTGACGCACAGGTTGAGCGTGCTGAGCCGCATCGGCCGCGGGGCCGGCGCGGACCTGGTGCGCGAGTACCGCGCGTGGTGGAGGTTCTTTACCTCGTCGCTGCCGCGTAGCGCAGCCGCCACGCTCGCCGCCGCCTGGGCGATCAGTGAAGATTTCAAGTGCACCCAGGTAACACACGCACCCCCCACACCCTCTTCCCCTCCCCCGTCGCCCCCCAGCACGGCAGCGCAGCGCGCTCGGCGCGGCTCACGCCTGCCACCCCGTTGGACACAATTCTGTACTCCCTTTCAGTGGCGGAGTCGGTGTGTGCGAGAGAGACCGACATATTGCGGAGTTTGCAGGAGTGCGGGAGGGATAGACAGCTGGACGGGAATCCCTATACTCGGACGTGTCTCTCTCTCTCTCTCGCGTCCCAAAAGGCTTCTCTCTGCTCGAGTTTGCTCTCATTTTACTCTATAGTTGAACCGGAACTGGGTCTGCATCGCTCTAACAAACCCCGCTCTTCTGCCCGCAGGGTCGGCGATAGAGAAGCTGTGCGAGGCTGCGCTGGGCGACTCGCCGGCTGACAGGGGCGCGGTGGTTCGGGCGGCTCGCTGCCTGCTGCAGGCTGTCACCAGGGTACTCCTGCTTGCGGACATCGTGGTCGTGAAGCAGCTGCTGCTGGCCAAGGACAAGGTGCGCGACGACAGCGACGTTGAACAAACGGTCGTAAATTTCGTTTTAAATTCTATTCTCGAGAGTTTCGTCTCTAACTATTTCTTTTCTCAACTCAGGTCGCGCGGAGCCTGGGGAGGCTGGAGAACGTGTCCAACTTCACCGAGTTCGTCAAGGCCTTTTCGCACTTTGGCGCCGAGATGGTGGAGCTGGCCTACCTCACGGGCGACCGGCAGAACGACACCAAGGACGAGCGGCGGCGCGCGCAGATGGCCGCGGCCAGGCAGGTCCTGGACCGCTCCACCGTCATGCTGCTCGTGTCCTCCAAGGTGAGGGGTTGGGGTCACACACGAGGGTGGGCCACTTGGAGATATTCCACGGGCGCACTGGAAAATATTCTAAAAATATTCCAGATATTCCAAAGGTATTCCAGATGTCCCAAAAAGTATCCCAGATATTCCAAAAATATTCCAGAAATTCCAAAAATAGTCATGATATTCTATGTACACGAAAAAAATCTGAGTGGTCCACCCCTCGCGGTGACACACAGGACCGAGAGGACGGTGGGTGTGGTACAACCACCCGCCACCCTCCCCCACTTTCCCTTGCACCGCAGCCCGTCCGTCCCGACCCGTCCCGCTGCGCAGCGGCCCGCCCTTTCACTCATATCCCCCCATTTGCTCACCCCCTCCACCCTCCGCCGTTCCGCCCCGTGGCTCAAGGCCGGGGGGTGAAAGTGGCGCTAACACCCTTTTGCTTTTGATCTCTATCTCTTTCTCGGAGGCGCCGCGCCGGCTTAGTCCGACCGGGGACCCGGACCCCGCCCCGGCTTCCAGTTTCAGATGGGATCGCGCCGCTTGTGTATGGGATCGCAAACCCGCCTGCTCGCTTTTCGGAGGGGGAAACGACCAGGGCGTACTCGCTTTTGTTCCTTACAGCTCGCCAATTGAAAGGAAAGGGACCCCCTCCCTCCCGATCCGTGGACCCGTATGGAGGCAGAGCAGGCCACCAGGCTGCCCAGCCCGCATGCCGCCCATTTAAAATAGCAATCCCATGATCAGAGAAAGGCCTGGTCCGCCACGCCCCACCCAGTCACGCCCTGCCCCACTCCGCCCCGCCCCTCTTGTCGCGCCAGAGGCCAGAGGCGTGGCGGAGGGGGGCGGCGGCGCGTCAACTTAAGAACTCTCTCCCATTAGTTTTACGCTCGTCAAGTCCTTTAATGCCGGGAAATGACTGCAGTTAAAGTTTGTTCCGTGGTGACTCTCCTGGCCCCCGGCTCCGGACCTTATCCGACCCATTATGTTCAGCGACACGCGGTGTCACGGCTGACCTCGCCCCCTTCCTCACTATGCTCCTGTCTGTCAGGAGGTCCTTTTTTCTTGTCGTGGTTCTATTTCTTCTTCTTCTTCTTCTTCTTCTTCTTCTTCTTCTTCTTCTTCTTCTTCTTCTTCTTCTTCTTCTTCTTCTTCTTCTTCTTCTTCTTCTTCTTCTT